GCAGATCTGAGCAGCGATCTGTTGGAATGCCCCAAGCTCCGGGAGCACCTGTCGCCCAGGTGAGGTTCCGGACCGTCGTGAAACCCTTGTTGTAGGTCGGCGCCGCGCCGAGGCACCGCTCGTCCGTGGACACCTTTTCGGTGATGCAAGGCTCATCGCGTCGTTTGTGGGGACCTGCGCCTTGCGATGGCGGCGCGATTGCTTTGTGATTGGAGCTGGTCCACGGGGGCAAGCCGGTGATCGGGGCCGCTTGGGCCGACGGTTGGACTGAAGGATGTTGTTCGTTCTCAGGCCGAGTCCCTTCGTTTCGCACCGAAACTATGGAGGCGGATTCGGTGAGCAGCCGGCGCGGAAAGTCATCAAAACGACGATTCGGACTGGGGAGGGGTCGCCGAGGGGCTGCTGTCGCTGCTCGCCGCGTGTTTGCGACCGCTGCGCAATCACTCCACGATCTCAGTGTGGGATCTGTGTCTTCTTTGGGAACCTCGTGCTTGAGGCCAACATGTTGCTGTTCATGGGGAAGTCGCGGAACGCGTGAGCAGGCTGGACACACCCCACACTTGCTTTTGGCTGTGTTCTACAGTGAATGACAACGACAGGGTATCACTGAGGTCGTTGGAATTTGCGTCGGAGGACTCCACAGGTAATTGGCCTCAACCTGAAGGTGACAGTGGCACCATTCTGGCGTCTGTTGGTCCATACAACATGTTGATATCCGTGTTGTGGCGGCATCAAGGGCTGTAAGGTTGTTGGTACACGGATATGGAGTTGTGCATGCCTATAGCCTGTTTCTCCTGTGCTCTGAACACTGAAGTTTGCTTTTTTTCCAATATCTTTTTTGCTGCTTTAGGTCAGATCAAATCAAGGTCCCACACCAACCAGCACCTTATATCGGCTCCATGCTGTTGAAATTCTGGTGTGTCGTCAGTATGGTTTATCAACCTCTGAACGGGCCAGCATTGTCTGCGACCTGAGCAGTTTGGCAATGTTTATGCGCTGCAGGGGCAGGGTGCCAAGGCATCAAGTACATTGCAGTTGATCGAGACACGTTAGAACAGGCAGAGATGTGTCTGCAGCTTCCCTCGTGGGCTGTCCGAGCTGGGGCGAGGGAGAACATCTATATGGACCCAGAGAAGGTCACGGCAGCGATCGTGACTTGTGGGGGGTTGTGCCCTGGCCTGAACGACGTTGTTGCTGGGCTGGTGAACAAATTGGTGGATTATGGTGTCAAGGAAGACAACATTCTGGGTATCAGGTGTGGCTGGAATACCAACTTGCAAGTTTGGGAACATAGTACACATTTTGGAAGAAACATTGAAGGTTTGGGAGGCATTGACTTAAGGAATGGCCTCCAGGGCATCAGTGCTGCTGTCTTCGTGTTGGGGTCTGCCTAGGTGATCGTTTTGGTAATGTTCCATCTTTTGTCCTGTTGATACAGGTGCGGAGTGGTGGTTCCATTCTCAGGATGTGCTTGCTATTAGAATCTCATCAATATCCAGGTGCTCAATTCTATGTGCTCTTCAGTGGCCACCAACGTGAAAGTTTCAATGGACGATCTGAGACTGTTTCCTTCTTTATTATTGCTGCTGTCACGAACACCGCAGGACTACATGTGGCTCCATTGACAGCCCTGTGTTCAATTTTATTCTTGATCTGGACAATTCTGACTTGATTTAGACACCATTTAGGTACGGGTTTCGAGGGTTCTACGATCCTGAGCACAGGCCCATGGTACTCACAAAGGATTCTGTAGACGGTATTCAACTGCAAGGAGGTACCATTCTGGGAACATCTCGTGGTGGTGCAAACATGAGGTGAGCCAACTGCAAAATGAAGCATCATTCCCAGTTAGAAACAAACCTGCTGCAGCTCAATCTCAAACTGGACCTGAGCTGTCCCTTTGATCCCAATTGCTTATGTTTCAAAATTGTGGTCAGTCACACGCATGAGAGTGATGTGGAAGGTGTTAATCTAGATTCTGGGTTCCTATAACTGCTGGTACAGCTCTCTACCTCTCAAAATCATGTTTGGCAGTTGGGTGCAATCTTATGACCATGGTGGTGCATGTGGTGTTGTCGTATGCCTCTGCACTTACACACTTGAAGTACGATGTGGAAATGCAATGAAGCGAATTGGCATTGGTTTTCATAGGCCATGATCGTTCACTATGATACTGTGCTTGAAGATCAATCAGGGGATGTCCTGCATGTGGAACTCACGGCCCAATCATAGGGCAGGCATTTGAGGTGCCATCCCTCCCAAATGCAAGACTACTTGTGAAACCCAATTCACCCCAATAGCCCAGTCCAAATCCCGTGAATGAGATACATTGTCTGTCGCTTGCAGCTGTAGACATACATTTCCACTTCATGTGCCACACTGTTGGCCTTCCAAGGGCCTTAGCTTCTCATTGGCTGCGGCACAAAGGGCATGAGAGAATGCTTCTCCTTTCCCATTTGTGAGGTGTTGGATTGTTTTTGTATATGCAAATTGTGGCATGCCTTAGAGGGAGCAGTGAGATGTTTTATCCTTGACCAAGTGCACTTGTGACCAACTGTATTGCTAAAGTGTTCCACTGACAGCAGACAACCATCGGTATGTGGTCTCCTGTATAGTGCTGAGAACGTTGTCCTTTGTTTGACAGAGAGATCGTTAAGAAAATTGACATGTGGGGCATAAATATGCTATTTGTGGTTGGTGGTAATGGCGGGAATGCTGGTGCCAATGCCATTCATGAGTACTGCAAGAAGAGTGGAGTGCATTGTGCAGTCGTTGGAGTACCCAAATCGATCGACAACGACATCTTGTTGGTGAGCCACTGCTGATTTCTTGCACTGCCACTGTCCCGGCCTTTGTCCTGCTGCTGTCCCTGAACAGCCTGTGCTGTATCTTGCTGTCACTTGACCCCTTGCTTCTTTTCATTGCCATCAAGTTTGGCTTGCTGAAGTGTGGGGACAAGTTCTGTCAGACAGATGGGCTTCCTCCAGATGTGCTGTTGTTGTTCATCAGAATTCACGAAGACTCTATCAGCATGAAAGAATGCTATGTCTGTGTCGTACGTGGCCAATCTCTAGTGTGCCCTCGACCAAGTATTTCACCCCTTGTATGACATCAGCATTCATCTGCTGGCTGAAGCAACTCCTGGCGAATGAAGGAGGCACACTGCTGAGTGTGGCAACCTGCTTGCAGATCGACAAGTGCTTTGGATTTGACACAGCCGTTGAGGAGGCTCAGCGTGCACTGCTTGCTGCCAAAGTGGAGGCATCCAGCGCTTTCAAGGGAATCGGCCTGGTAAAGCTCATGGGAAGGCAAAGCGGCTTCATTGCAGTGCAGGCTTCCCTTGCTGCAGGTAAGCGGGGTGGCCTAGATTGTGTCAGGGAGGACAGCATGTCCTCCCCTGACTCCCTACCCCCCACCCCACCCCACCCCTTTCCTTGCCCCTCTCCCGCATATTTTAACAAGAGTTCATTTGAAACTCCCAGCACAGAAAGTCTGCTTTGTGGTGGGGCAAGTGACGTGTGATTGACGCCATCTGTGAGAACATTCTGCACATGCTGCGCAGCGGAAAACCCCCTCTGCTGCTGCCACTGCATGAGATTGGAGATCAGCTCGTGTGGTTGTTTTGCAGGTGTGGTTGATGCCGTGCTCATCCCTGAGGTGCCCTTTGAGCTCCAGGGACCCAAGGGCCTGTTCCAATACCTGAAGAAGGTGATACAGCACAAGGGCCATGCAGTCGTTTGTGTGGCAGAGGGTGCTGGACAGGTATGCAATGGGCACACATGGAGCTGTCTTTGAAACCACATTCATGTGCATTCCGCACTGGCCAGTACAAAAGTCATGCTTATTGTTCCATGTTGTTGTTGATCCATGAAACAGGCGGAATACTGCTGTGCCCGTCCATTTCAACAGATTGTATGTTATCCAAGTTGTGTTTGGTTGAGAGAGTTGAGTATGCAACCGAAGTGGTGTTTGGCCCTGTGATTTGGCCATGTTTTGTATTTGCAGCAGGCAAAGCACTCCATTATGCCCAACACCACATATGCTCGCTCTGAAACATCTGCTTGCCCCACTGATGCAATGTTGTATGAAGTGGGCACTGCAGAATATGTGGCAAAGCAGTGGTCTGTTCACGATCAGACTAAAGTGGAAGCCACCTTCCACTGCCGTCTTCAAGATTTGGCTGATGCTCACAGTGGTTGCTTGTGGTGGTGCATTTGCCACAGAGTATTATGGGCCAAACGTCTAACGGCAATGGGTCCAAAGCGACCGACGCCAGTGGAAATCCCATCCTCCAAGACATTGGCAAATTCCTTCGCCAGGAAATGCAGTCATACTTCAAGGATGCTGACGTGAAGTACATCGACCCAACATACATGATTCGTGCCATTCCTTGTGCCTCCACCGATCGGGTGTACTGCAAGATCCTGGCACACAACTCTGTGCACGCTGCATTCGCTGGCTACACCGGCATCACAGTGGGCCTGGTGAACACCCACTATGTATACCTGCCCATTCCCGTGGTCATCGCAGCTCCACGAATGGTGGGTTCTGCCATCCTTTGATCCCTCCTGTAGTCATTTCAGCACCCTTGCCTGACAGATTCTGTGGTTTTGTTTTGGATACCACTGCCAGAGACAACTCATTTGTTAATGTATGCCTTTAAGTTTAGTATAGCCATTGTCTCGTACAGTGCCTGACACCTTTTTCACAAGGTGGCAAGGAGCCGTTTTTATTTTTATTTTTTTCCTTTATGACACCATTGTTTGTTGGTGGACTTGCCGCAATATTCACAGCCCTCATGCCATGGTGCAGCCTACTCACTCATGGTTGTGCGAATTTTGCTGCTTACAACACATGAACAAATAAGGCCTTTTGCACCTGGGGAGCGATGACAGGCACCACTGCAGCCAATCAATATTTGCTTGTGCTCCCTCCAGTCGTATATCAAACCCCTACCCAATTAATTTGCTGTAACTTGGCTGCGTGCTGCCCTGCACATGTCAGCCAACATCAATTGGGCAGTGGTCTTGCTGTCCCTGCAATTTGTGTGTTGGGGAAAGGGCTGGGTGCCAATGTGTTCATCGCAGCTCTGTACTTGACGATTTGTTGTGCAGCTGCAAGTGGGGTCCGCATCATTGGTGGTTTCTTCAAACAAGTCTCTGTTGGGGCTACTGACAATTCAGTACAAGGGCTCTGCAGCTCGCTGGCTACCCTGGAAGATGGTGTATAAATCCACCAGGCCAGCCGCCTATGCTATTTCTCTTCCTTTCATCACAACCACCTGACAAACATGTCCTTGACGAAGGACATCGTGAAGGTGGCTATGGGTGCAGCAGCATCCAATGCCTGTACCGTCCAACGCCTGTCTTTCTTGGTCCCCATATTCATGGTTTCGAATGGCTCGTTGGCACAATTTGCAAACAGCTGTGCACCCACGTGTGCCGTAAGATTTTAAACCCTTCAGCATTGGAAATTTTACCGTTACGCTTTTTGCCCCGCATTTTGCTTCTCAGAGTTTTTTTCAAATTTTTATTTTGCTAGGCAAGAACTTTACTTAAAGAGCGTTATTTGCCGTACTGGTGTCTTCGCCAGAAAAGACCAAGCGTTACGTTACTGCGCGGAAGGGCTTAAAACCTACAGTACACTTGTTTGCAGCGTATGTTACCCTTGTGTGGACCAAAATGCTCTTGGGCATGTGTGCCCTGAGGCTGGGTAATGCTGCTGTCCTTGATGCAGGTGGATCCAAAGGGCAAAATGTGGACGAGACTTCGTGCGTCCGTTGGGCAGCCCACCTTCTACGAAACGCCAGAGGAACCCAACTGGCCATTGTTGACTGATGACGTTGCAGCAAAGGAAGAGGCTGTTGTGTAGCTTCTGGAAGCTTTGTCTTTGTGGTGACTTTGGGCTGTGGTAGTCAGTGGCAGTTGAATAGGCATTTGATGATGTTTGCCGTTGGAAAGGGAGGTATGATTGATCATGACGTTTAATGAATGAAGAGAGGTGCCAGGAAAAAGGGCTGGTGCCTTGGCAGGTGAGTAGAATAGAACCCCGAAGGTGAGGGGCATGTTTGGCCTGCGACGCGGACACTGGTGGTGCGAAAAAGGGGAGCAATGCTCTCTGCTTGTCTTCGAACAATGGCAACGCCTGTCGCTGTCGCTGCAAAATAAATGATCAGAGAAACTCAATTCTTTTATGTAGGTGCAGTCCTGAGCAGGCGTACTGGCAGGCACAAACGAATGGCCCAATGTCAATGAAGGTGTTGCGGGCATGGGTTCGATATGCTGGAGTGTGGGCTGAGCACCCCCTAACATTCTTGGCCTCGATGCATGGAGGCAGGCACCAGGCCGCCGGGAACGTCCTCACACATCTGCCCGAGGTGACAGTCCTCAATTTTCAGCACGAGGCCCGCAGGTTCAGCAATCTCACTGCTTGGACCTCTGTTTGACAATTACTATTTAATGTCACTTTGGTAGTCAGACATGGTGCCAGCAGGTGTGTGTCGGCATCCTGGAGACGCTGGTGCTGAAGTGTGGGTAGCACAGATGTGTTGCTGCAGAAACCATGTTCGGTGTTGGCAGAAAAGGCTGCGTGGGGACACATCTATGTGCGAAGCAGTCGCGTAATGTGCCTCCTCCCCTTGAACATAATTGCCCTTAGGTACTGTGAGGCCAACGCTGTAGTGGGTCTGGAATCTTCAAGGCCACCAACTGGAGGAACCACGTCCGAGAAGACGTGCTTGGACATAATTTCATCCTTGCTAGGCGGAAGCTGGTCAGGTGGTATCAAATACATCCCGGCTGCTGCCAGTTGGTGTGCGTGCTGCGAGGTGCATTGATTGGTGGGCCACCTTCTGGTTTTTAGCTGGGCGAAATCTGGCTCTGAACACCTGAGCGCCTCTCCGCCGATGCTAGAGCTCGAGACTTTTAATTCTTTCACCACGGAGACCGTCGCCAATGTGCATTCTGGTTTCAAAGTATCGTTTCGCTTACTGTTCTTCTGCATGTGTTGGTTCACGAATTGCACCGCAATTCCTTATTCATCTAGACCGAAGGTGGTGCCAGGTCTAGGCAGCCCTTTGTGTTGTTTTAGTTCGCTTCGCTTCCCAAGCGCCTTCACGTGGTGACTCGTGCTGGAGCATTCCGCAGGGAGTGCACCCAGAGGAAGATTGCCGTTCACTTGGAGAATCTTGAGCATGTCCTTCGCGCACCTGCAGGAACTGTGTGGTCCTGTCCGATTGATTCATTGTCCCTGTCGCTGTCTTGTGCCTCTCATTGTGGAGCAGAAAGTGCAACTGTGAGTTAAAAAAATAGGCTTTTAATTCCCCTTCAAACTGTGCAGAATCTTGCAACGGGTTGTCGCTTTAACATGCGCAAGTTTTGGCAGCTGCGGCCTTTGCACTGACGCGAGGAATCGACTTCATTCCGAAAAACACCCTCGCACTCTGACCCATTGCTTTCACATCTGGAAAATCCAGTTCACAAACACATTTAACAAAACTCGTGTTGAAAAGAATACTGCCATAGACATTGCTTTGCAATGCTGATCGTAGACAATACTGTGCTCGGGCAAAATGGGGAGCTGTCGGCTACCTCATGGCCTTGTTCTGCCAAAGTGAATGACGGTGATGATGAAAAAAAGAATACTGCCAATCGCCCCTGTCCAAAGTTGCCAGTGGCAAGGGGCCCAAGATTCGCGACCCGAACGCCCACAAACCCCGGCGGGCCCTTCGGCCCATGCATCAGTTGCCAGATTGGCCGCCCGTAGCCAGCGCCTCGCGCCCGGGCCATCAATCGGCTCGCACCAAAAGCCCAGCCCCACCCACCCCGCCCCCGCTTCGCTGCTCCCTTCCCGCCATGGCCCACCGCGGACGGCGGCCGCGGCGGGACGTCGGCCTACGGCTGGAGCTGGGCGCCGGCCAGACGCGCAGCGTCTCGTGGTCTGTGGTCAAGGCGATGCGCGAGGCCACCGGCGCCAGTCAGGAGGACGTGCAGCTGGTGCTGCAGGAGTGCCGCGGTGACGCCAACGAGGCCACCAGCAGGCTGATCGAGAGTGAGATTGGCGCCGGGGGGGAGGGGCGGGCCCTGCGGGACAGTGGGTGGACGCCCAGGGGTCTGAAAGCCATCCTTTCTTGCAGGTCCCTTCACGGCGGTCAAGTCGCGCAAGCAGCGGCGCAAGGAGGTGAGGCCCAGGCGGCGATCAAACCCGCCGCGCCGGCCGCGGTTGGGCGTGCAATCTTCGCAAAGAAGTGAACCTCACGTTCGGTTGATCGGATCCGTACGTTTCGACGCGCAGCAGGAGGAGGCGCTACACTCCGCCCCCCGCGGCCGCTTCCGGCCCGCGCCGGCGCGCCTCCAGAACGGCCCCCCGCCAAGTCACCAGCCCCCCAGGGATCCGGCCAGGGGCCAGAGGGCCCCGGCCGGCCCCCGCCCCATCCCTCCGGCGCCACGCGGCGCGCCCACTTTTCGAGGCGGGTCAGCGGCGGAAGGGAGGCCGATCCAGAGTCGTCCGCCCGCACCTGCGAACGGGAGACCGGGAGGGATCGTCGTGGGACAGAATCGCGGCGGCCCGTTGGCGCCCAGGGGCTGGCACGGCGGGGAGGGAGCCAAGCCGGCCGTCCGAAAGGTCTGGCTGGCCAAGCAGACATCCAAGTACCACTGGTGCGGACCCCTCGCCCCCGCGACGACCTGCGTCGATCGCCCGCTCCACCTCTTGGGAGGGGGGGCCCGTTGTGCGACATGTGTCTCTTTCTCTTTGTGACAAAGCTTAACCGCCCCATCGCCGGGCGTGGGTGTCAGCGCGCCTGTCGCGGCAGCCGTGTTTTTGCTGGACACGCGGACACTCGCATGGCAAGACAACAGCAGTGGCAAGACGCTTGTGTAGGGACGTCATCTGTGACGTCCATTTTTCTGCAGCCCAAAGATCCCCAGGATGGTATCCAGCGTCGCCCAGAGCAGCAGGTTTGGAGGGCTGTTGAATCAATGCGCCTGTGGCCCACGGACAATCAATGGGCGCACGCCTTCCCTGTACAGGGTCGCTCCCGACTTCCAGCCAGGCGCAACCCCCAAGGCCCAGGGTGCCGGTGCCAGCCTCAAGGCAGCGGCCGAAGCTGCGGCCAGGCCCCTTGCTGATGCCCAGACGGCGGAACAGGTCAAGTGCGAGGACAGTGTGCAGAAAGAGAAGACGGTAAGTTCTCCCTGCGATCCCATCCCGTGGGAGGATCCTGTCCTGAAAGCAGGCCCCCCAACAAGGGCTTGGGACGCCTTGCCCACAAGACCGCCCATGCCAGCGTGCACGCATCCACATTTCATATGCTCTTGCCTCCAGACGAATTGCAGCACCAGCCCATCGCACGCGACGGCCAGCCGTTCTAAGGACAACGTTCTCAAACGCCCGCGCCCTCAAACAGACAAATTTGTTGTATCGGTGACGCAGGCTGCGCAGGCACGGGCGGCAACGGCACAGCCGTCAACCCCCGGCGCGCATTCCTGTGTCGACGTGGCCGTAGCCATCATCGGGCCCAGCATCGTCCTCGGCAAGGGGAGCGTGGTGGACGCGCAGAGCGTCCCCATGAACGCCCACGCCCCCGACGACAACGCCAGCGACGACTGCGCATCGGACATCGCCCCGACCGACTTGTGCTTCGGCACATTCCGCAACCTCGAGTGCCTGGCCGCCCCGGCGGTCCCCCGCGCAGACGCCCACCGGCCCCCAGATGTCGCCAGTGATGCCGACAACGAGGACGGCAAGCAGCGGCCTGGTGCAAAGACGGAGGCCTGCGAGGGCGCCCCAATGAAAGTCTCCGCGGCGCAGGAGCCAGTCGCAGCCGAGGAGCCGCAAGTCCAAACGCCGGATGGGGAGGAGAAAACGGGCGCCTGGCGTGCGCAATCAGCGCCCCTGGTGGAGCACAAGGCCGCGGATGCTGAGAAAGACATCAAGCAGGTGCCCCAGCAGCCCCAACAACAAGCGATCACCGATCAGGACGTCCACGAAAACCTGAGCAACACTGCGGAGGGCTTCCAAGCGGACAGCCCAGGCCCAGCCCAGGCATCTGCTTCCAGCGAGCCACAGCTGCCAGACCCCCCCGAGCCTCCAGCCGCAGGAGATGATGCCGTCGAGGAGCAAATGCCCCGCGAGGCACCCGCGCGGCTGACGACCGAAGCGTTGGTGCGTCCGATCGGCGGCGAGGCATCCATCGGCACAGAGGCGTCCGGCGCTCCGGACGCGCAGCGGGCCGCGGACTGCAGCACGCAGACCGAGCGACCCGCGCCGCAGAATGGCAGGGTCGATGACGGAGGGACCTCCGCCAGCGCCAGCAAGTCACCCCCTGAAGTGGCCAGCTCAAGCTCGGAAGTCGTCACCCGGCCGGAGCGGGCATGTGGGCAAAGATCTTCTCACCAGTCGTCGCAGAGAGCGGCGGAGGGGCCCCGGGAGGGCGACCTGGCGTCGACCGGCACGCAGACCGAGAGGTCCGCCGCGGGCGCGCCGCGGTCCTTCAGCCCTGAGGGGCACCCGCAGGACAACTCCGCGGTGAACACGCTGCCCTCTGGACCGCACGTGCAGGTAGCGACACGCCCGGCAACCCCGTACAGCCACGGATTCGCGAGCGGTGCTTCATCGGTCGTTAACCGAAAGAAAGTGGGCCGGCAAATGACCTGGCGCCTGTGAAAAACATTCTTGCATGATCAATAGAAATTTTGCGCCCAAACGGGCCACACTCTGGACGCACCCACATCAAATCACATTCCCCTCCATGAAGGACATTTCATCGTGCCATGAGCCGCAACGCCCATATCGTATGTTTTCATTTGAAAGTGTGCCTACGTGGCTGTCAGCCAGTGGATCCTGCCACAAATCGATCAAGCTTCCTTCCC